TAGCCACCATACCACTAGGTAGCTTACCATCACGGTGCACATTGATTTGATGATATTAGATGGTTGGAGTTAGTCGGCGAGAAGCCTTGGACCTAGGTTTCGTTATAGTTGGCACTCACCAGTCAGTAAGGCGTATCTGCAACTTTGAAGGAACTCATGTCCCTTCTGAGATTCTGACCCGCGTCACCACCCAGTGTTTACTGCAGTCGGAGACATTACCACTGAGCTATTTGGACTCGCGATTGACCTCCTGTAGGACTGTACCGGATACTAAGATTTGGCACTAGTAACTAGTGTGATGTGTCTAGTCTCCTCTTTGGTGCAAACTGAATTCTATCAGTCAGGTTGTAATGTGGCCTTATTCTCTAAGCTCTGTACCAGCTTCAGGCGTTTCTTTTCTTTCTTATTACACACAATTACATCCACATAATCTAATAATAGTTTCTTTAAGTTTTCTGTTAATTCGTCGGCAGCATAGAACCTTTCTGTTACGTTCTTCGATAACTCAGTAATACACGATTGAACTGAGTCAATTTGATTATGTGCATGGCGTTTGAGTGTCTTATCAGTAGGCCGGACTCTGTTACGGCGTAGAGACTTCCAATAAGATTTAGGGTGCCGGTTTGTTTCAATACACTGGTGGATAAAGTCAACAGTAGTCTTTGCTTCGCTGAACCTTGCGCTATACTTCAAATACTCGTTGAGTACTTTTAACGCAAAATGATGCTCAGAAGATATCAATACAGCAAAAATATTCATTCAGACATCTATAAAAAACAAAAATATCGAGCAAAGAATATTCTTTTCGATAAATTCCTCTTCCGGCTCTACAATTATATACAAATGTTCTTAGTGACTACTATTCTAGAATATTCTATGTATATTAACACACATTTATATGTATAATTGTAGAGCCAGAAGAGGAGGAAATTATCGAAAGGGGGATATTCTTTGCACAATTGTTTAGTGCTTTATGTATTCCATTATGGGTAAATTTTGTTTTGATAAAGTCTCACAGTGTTATACAGTAATGTTTACTGATGACGTTTCGAGCACAATTTATTACTGCTCATAATCATATCAAGGTAATCACACGACTTCCTAAATTCATTTATATAGTTCCATTGTTTTTCTCTTGATTTTCACTTGATTTGATTGGTAATAGTATTTTCCATATTTCAGGTATGAGTGACGAGTCATTCCTATTGCATGTGTTGGGTGTAGACTCGATGAACCAGGCAGGGATTCAGTAATCAACCTCTCTCTCCACCTACCTAGATTACTTTTTAGAATTTCAACCCTCTCCCACCCTATTGTGTGGTTGTGTGTTAGAGCATGCATTGCAATTGCTGAGCTTTTTTCTAAATTATTTATCTTCTCGGGGTCAACCATTCTTACCTTAGCTGAATTCTTATGCTCCGACAATCTGACTACCCCTGACCTACTAGTTTGACCTATGTAGTTGACCTCACAGTCATTGCATGGTATTTTGTAAATAATATTATTTTGTCTAATTGGGTCAACTGGGTCCTTTAACCTACAGAGCTTGTCCCTGAGTGAGTTTGTAGGTTTAAATGCCACCCTTATTCCTATTTTATTCAGAATCCTACGTAGTGTCTCAGATGTCCCCTCTTTATATGGTATAACTGTGGATGACTTATATTCTTTCTTATTTATGTTATTATTACTAGTTTCACAATTATTTTTATTTTGTTTTTGGCCTTTAATGATCTTCCTAATGAATTTTATAGGACAGTTATTCAACACCAACGCTTCTTCTATCTGTTTTAATTCATCATTTAGATCTTTTTTTGTACTACTTAGTGCCACTGCTCGGTTTGTTAAACATTTAACTAAGCCTGCCTTAACAGTTAAAGGATGAGATGAATTAAAGTCTAAATATCTATTAGAATGCGTTGGTTTTCTATAAACACTAGTGTGTAGTTTGCCTTCTTCTATTCTTTTTATCTTACAATCTAACATAGCTAATTCTCCTTGTTCATTTTCTGATTCAAATGTGAATTTTATTCCCTCAACTTGTGAGTTTATATGTGTCAAGAAGCTAGAGATGTGTTCTGTTTTTAACACTGTGAAAGTGTCATCCACATATCTCCACCATATTTTCGGAGTAGGGTTAAATGTATTGAGGGCACTCATATCAATGCTTTATGTATGTCTGAATAGGATATATGTCAGTAAATCAAACCTTTTAATCAAACCGTTACACCTAATAAGTAGTGTTTCTAAAATGCTATGGAAAATATCAGAATCGAATGCCTCACAATTCGACGTGATCAATCACTAGAGTTTTTTTTGGAAAACAAAGAATATTCGCATCACAGTGTGAGACCTGCTTGATGCCGTAAATGACAATCATTATTATTCTTCACTATATGTGTAAAACTTGGGCACTGTGGTAGTAAGTAATTCCATATCCCATGAATTAAAAGTCAATCTGAACGAAGAATATCCTTTTCAGTAATTTCTCTTCAGGTTCTTACAATTATAAAACAACCATAATATTTGTTGTCGTTTTTTTTCCTTTGCTTATTATTACAAATATTATTATTACAATTATTGTTAATATTATTCGTCATAATTTATACCCTTCAGGTAAACATTCCCTCAATACTGTCGAATTTTCAGTTATACTGTCCGGACTTATTATTACTAATATTATCTCTTTTCTCGACATATGCCTCCACCTGTCTCATTTCAAACATTCGTTATTTCGTGATGAACCCTCTCATTGCAGTCTTGCTATATCCTGTTTAACACAGACCACTTTGTACTAGCCACTCACTCGCCAGACACCTTTTATAACCTTGAACTGACTTGTCAATTTTCCTACCCCATACTCTACAAATCTATTATGACCACTAATCACCATCATTGTCTCCCGTTTTACAATATTTTGTAATCGATTTCACTCTAGCACGTTTGTCACACAAATACGACTATGTGTTTTAACACCCCATAACTGCTAATCTCTTATTTTACGTAAACAAAAAATATATCCGCCGCACAACTGGCTCGCATTACTGTAATGACAATAAATATTACATAGATTTTAATTCTAGGATCCTGAAGAGAAATTATTGAAAAGAATATACTTCATTCATATTCACTTTTAATTCATAATATGAGGATATTTCACACCATTAAATTCCACATTAATTTCTTTATTAGATGTATCACGCAGTGAAACAGTATTATTTACTGGATGACGTTTCGAAGAAAATTTATTACTGTTCATAATCATATCAATTATCATTCACTGACTAGGTAAATCAAATGAGTAGTTATATACCACGAGTCCTGATCCTACCCCGCCTACTACGGCATTGGCAACCAAAGTGTTTCACTAGACCTCACATAAAACTGGTGTAGCCCATTACAAACTGAGTCGAAATGCAACAAATGAGGGTGGATAGACTATTGTCTTCCTGTCGATATGATTTCAAATGGTCACAACGCCTTCACAGCCTCCACTACGTAAGTTCTATTAACTGCCTTCACGCTAAGCGGGAGGAAGGTTTTTCATGGAAGTGGAAGGAAGAATGTGAACGTCTGGCATTAACAATTCAGATATGATAGAGAAGGTTTGTAGCTCAGGTGTGGATGATTTTGATGTGGTTGTGTTCTCTGAGCTAGCTGGATAGTTAATTTGTGAAGCTTTCATCGCCCTAATTACTAGGCAACATCTTCCTTCAGCGCATACATACTTCAATTTGAATTGAAGTGAGCTTTTAGATTTCTCCACGAGTTCGCCATTAATCATCTCTCATGGTGACCACCTTGGACCTGATTGGTTGTTTATGTGTGTTTTCACATCTTATAGGTTACTTGTATTGGAACTGACTGTTTCTTTGATTTGAACTTTGACCCTTTGTGTGTGAAGCTTCTTTGTTATCGGTTGATAAATTTTGTCTATCTCGATGTCTCTATTGATTGGTGATTTACTGGAATGCCAAGCTTTTAAAAACTCTCTAGCATTCTTGTTGTTTCCTCTATCTAATATTTGAACGCTGCTTGTCCTAGTCGAATGGATGTTCGTGGTTGTCTGTGTGTAGTGACATCAGATAGTGGGTATCATGTCTTTTGACGACTAGCTTACGTTCGTGACTACGAAGACGAAGGAGACGTCCACTCTGGCCAATGTTGTGCTTTTCCCAGTTGTTGCAATTTATTTTGTAGATGATGTTGGTTTTATCTTCTTTCGCTGTTGAATCTTTTGGTTGACATAGAATTGAGTGAAGCGACTTTGTTGGTTTGTGTACGATGTCGATTCCTAAGGTTTGAAGAGTCTTGCAGTGATTTCTGAGGATATCTCACTGCATACAGACAACCACGGACATCAGTTCGACTGGGACAACGTTCAAATATTAGACAGAGGAAACAACAAGAATACTAGAGAATTTTTAGAAGCTTGGGATTCCAGTGAATCCTCAATCAATAGACACACCGAGGTAGACAAAATTTATCAACCAATAAAAATGAAATCTCACACACAAAAGGTCAAAGTGGAATCACGTATGAAGATGTTTTGAACACCTGCAACCATGGGAACGTAACTTCTAGTGCCACCCTATTGCATTCTGGATTGAACTTCAAGTCAAAGGCTAAACGATTGGTCCCTTGAGGCAAACACCTGCTTTGGTTTGAGCTTCTAGGCGGTGCAGCATCTCTTGGTGCCCGAAATGTATGAAGTTTCTGTTATAATAATACTTAAGTGGAAATGAAGGGATTAAACCTATTATGCAACGACCTATAATAACACTTGGCTACCCAAACCTTGACAGGTGGAGAGATTCTGAGTTATGGGAAGCATCTTTTTCATTTATCAAACTATGAGCTGGATTAACTGAGTGTTACCTGTCGAAACCATTCATTATCCCAGACTGAAGTAGATAACGTAAGCTCCTAACTCTAAATGTATTTCGTTGAAGGTCAACAACCTGGTCAAATGATCTATACCCTTCATGATCCTTCTGACTTACTTGTTCAGCAGTCGGCAAACTTCCTTTCTGTTTCATTAGATAGAATGCAACTTTCATCCAAAGTTTATCCCATTGACGTTTTCGTAATTTAGCTAAGTCAATTAACAAAAGTCCAGCATTGTAACCAAATCCCTAGAAAAAGGGAAATACAAAGGTAATGACGTAAAAATATTGCATAATTTATTTATAATTTGGATAAAGAAAAACAGAACAGATTTGCAGGATTAAAATGATGCCATCATTCCATTTCTCAGGCACTCATGAGTTAACTGCAAACTACTACTTCGAAGTTTGAGTGATAGTAAGAGAAACATTTTAAAATGAAAGCATCCGAAATATAAGCATTTCAATAGGCTTTGGTTTAAGTTACCATCAATTGTTATTATATTATTATGTATATGATTGTTTCCTTCAATTCGTAGAGGAACATACGGCTTCAGACGCATGCCTCCATTTTGCTCGGTTCCCTCCCAACGTTTTCATCCGGCTCCACGTCTGATCACGTAGTCTCATCTCCCCTTCATACCACCTACTCCTCCCCTCCTCCATGTTTCACTCTCGGATTGATCACCAACTCGCCGACTCCCATCCCATTCGGGTTCCCCTCGAGCAATCGCCTGGCTTGTGATGTCACTCACCTGATGATGGTTGTTTTCTCAGAGTATGGCCAGCCAACCCACCTTCATTTCTTCCTGCAGATTTGTTACACATTCAGTTCCTGCTGGGTTGGTTAATTCACTTCTACAGATCCCTCACTGTCGCTGATCTCTTCTGGCCAGCCATCTGATCTTGAGTAGTACAGAGAAAAGAAAATTAGCTGTTGATGAAGCTGTGTAGTTCCTTCTAAGTACCCCTCGTGATGCGGCGCCAATTCTCCGATCCCTAATGTAGCACTGACTGACTTCACATGGATTCGAAATTCCACATCTTATTTTCATTTTCATGCTGAATCCTGAGTGCTGTTGACCTCCACACAGACTTGAGAGAAATGGAAGCTTCCTTGCTTTCTTTATCCTCGCTTTGATATCCTCATCAGTTCTATCCGCCTGTGGTTGAAACGATGCTTCCCATGTAGGTAGGTAGGTAGGTAGGTAGGTGAAGTAGGTTGCTTCTCTCAGATTTCTCCCATTTATGCTGGCTGATCGTTGTCTGTTGTTGTTGCTGTTGCTGTTGGCCAGGAATCCTGATCACTTCTGTCTCCACCTTCTCTATGTTCACCTGAAGTCCTAGCTATCTCTGGTGCATATTCTGTCGACCTGATCCTTTCCACTTGCATATCTTCCACTTTGTGGGAAATCAGACATATATATATATATATCATCAGCGAAGTCGAGATCCTCCAAGTTTTTGTGTGGGTCCATTTTTTGTCTATCTCCTCGTTGCCTGCTGTGTGTCTGTCGCATTATCCAGTCTACCGCACTCAGGAAGATCATTGGAGATAGTAGGCAGCCAGCCAGCCTTGTCTCACTCCGGTCTTCACTTCGAAGGATTCTGTGAGTTTCGCGTTGTGGATTAATTGGCATGCAGCATTGTCGTATAACTGTTGGATGAAGTCTATAACTGTTGGTGGCACCCCGTAGTAGCGAAGTAGTTTCCAAATCACCTATCGATCGATACCGTCAAAGGCCTTTACAAAGTCGATAAAGTTGAGACAGAGAGCTAACCGGCATTCAAACTCTGTTCAATAATGACCGGCCAGAAAAGATCAGTAACAGGGAGGGATATCTGGCAATGAGCGAACCAACCAAACCTAGAAGGAACCAATTGTGCAACAAATCTTTAAAAAGAAATGGAGGTGGATTGGCTGGCCTTACTCTGAGAACATAAACCATCATCAGGTGAGTGACATCACAAGCCAGGGGATTGCTTGAGTGGAACCAGAATTAGATGGGAGTTGGCGAGTTGGTTGTCAGTGCAAGGTTGACATGATGGAGAAAGATTAGGTGATGTGAAGAGCAGGTGAAATGATGTACGCAGACGTGGAGCCAGGTGAAAACGTTGGCAGAGAACCAAGCGAAATGGAGACATGCAGCTGGAGCCAAATGTTTCTCTAAGAATTAAAGGAAACAATAATTATAATAATACACTTCCAACCTGGTGGATAGATGGGCGGTGAATGTGATCGGCTAACAAGGGCAACAGTGGTGGGTTCAGTCAGTAGGTGTAGTCATGAATGTGCACTATTTTCAATACTCCCAAGTTGGGATAAAACAACTTTATAATGTTACATACTTCTAATTATGATCGGTTAGTTACAAAAAAACAAAACATACCAAAAAGTAAAAGAAGCTTACCAAATTAGGCCAAAATCTATATCCCATATTAGAGTAAAATGTTGGATTTTGTTCAGCAACAATTCCAATACACTATTAGAAGGAAAAGAAAATAGATGGCATGATCTGATGTTGATAATAACCGTCTGAAGAGTTATCAATATACGTGTACAACTTGAACACTGTGGTAGTAAGCAGTTCCATATTGATTGGTTTAATAAACATGTCAGACAGTAAAACAGTATTATTTACTGGGTGACAAGTTTTCAATCACAATCTATTATTATTGTCCATAAGTATATCAGTTATAGTTACACGACTTTGAAACTTCAATTTTAGAGTTTTCTTTGTTCTCTCCTATTTGTCACAGAGGTAGTAGAATTTTCCAGGTGACCATATGGACAGGTGTTGAATCATTCCTATTACAATGTTGATTTACAGTTGATTCGATAAACAAAGCTTCAGTCAGTTATCAATCTCTCCCTCCACCCTGTTACAATAGATTTTAAAACTGTCATCTTATCGCATCCCATCGTAGCGTATTTATTATTATTATTATATCATTTAATTCCCAGAGAAACATAGGGCTTCAGCCGCCCGAATCTCCATTGCCTTCGGTTTTCTGCCAACTTTTTCACCACACTCGAAGTCCGCCCACACGCTTTCATCTCCTCTTCACATGACCTCCTCCTCCTCCAAGTCACCCTCTCACTGACGACCAAATCGCCGCTTCCCTTTCGGGTTCTACTCGGGCAATAGCTTGTCTAGTGATGTCACTTGATGGTTTCCTAAGAGTATGGTCAGCCAATCCATCTCCATTTCTTCCTGCCTATTTGTTTCACAATCAGCTCCTGGTTGGTGCGCTCCAAAAGATCCCTATTGCTGATCTTTTCTGGCCTGCCATCTGATCTTGAGCAGTATTGAGCGTAGACAACTGATAATGAAGGTCTGTAGTTTGTTTGAGGTGCTCTTCATGACGCGCAGTGCAAGTCTCTGATCCGTATAATAGTACTGACTGACTTCACATTGGAATTGAAAATGCGGATGTTATATTTGATGCTGAGTGCTGTTGACCTCCACACAGACTTAGGGGTTATGAAATCCTGTCTTGCTTTTCCGATTCTTGCTTTGATATCCTCGTCAGTTCCGTCTGCCTGTAGTTGAAACGATGCTTCCCAGGTAGGTAAAGTAGGTTGTTTCTTTCAGGTCCCTCCCATTTATGCTGATTGTCGTCTGTTGTTGTTGTCGTCACTGTTGGTGTTGGCCAAGAATCATCACCACCTCCGTTTTCTCTATGTTCACTTGAACTCTTTCATATCTTTGATGCTTCTTCTGTCAACTTGTCGATTTTCATCACTTGCATATCTTCCAGTTTGTGGGAAATCAGACATATATATATCGTCAGTGAAGTCCAGATCCTCCAAGCTCTGTTTATGTGTTGGTCCATTTTATGCCTGTTTCCTCATTGTCCGCTGTCTGTCGCATTATACAATCTACTGCAATCAGGAAGATCATTGGCCATAGTAGACAGCCTTGACTCACTCTCGTCCTCACTTCGAAGGCTTCCGTAAGTTTCCCGTTGTGGATTACTTGGCATGCAGCATTGTCGTATAACTGTTGGATGAGATGTATAATTGTCGATGGGACCCCGTAGTAGCGAAGTGGTTGCCAGATCACCTCTCGATCGACGCTGTCGGAGGCCTTTTCAAAGTAGATGGAGTTGAGATAGAGAGGTGACTGCCATTCCAAGATTTGATCAATGATGATCCGTAGTGTGGCGATTTGATCAATACATGACTTGTTTCTCCTGAATCCAGCTTGTTCCGGTCAGGGTTTTGCATCCAGGTTGGCTTGTTTGATTCTCTCCAGGATGATGCGTATGGTTGTATGTAATTGCATGTAGTGTATTGCTATAGTTAAACTATTCTCTAGACTTCTTATCTTATTCTGGTCAACTAATCCAAGTTCTGTTACGTTTTTATGCACTGCTAGTTTGACTGTACCTGTTCTTCTACTAGTTTGACCTATGTATTCGACCTGACAAATATTCCAGATGTGTATTAGATAAACTAAATTGTTTTGTTTAATTGGCTCCACAGGATCGATCGTTTAACCGACAAAGCATATTTCAGTTCGAGTCAATACCAGTCACTTTTATTCCTCCATGCATTATTGGGGATTCTCTGTAAGGTTTCCGAGGTTCCTTCTTTGTATGGAATTACTACCGATCATTTAGATTCCCAATTGTTGGTCTTGTTATTATATTGCGCATGTTTGACGTGCATGTCGTCATTAATATTACTATTATTATTATTATTATCGCTATCACCACTATCATTATTTATTTTATATTTACATTTTTCTACATACCCTCTGATCAACTTATCATCCCAGAAAGAGGATTGGTGGATTGTTCAAGTGATACAGCAGAAAAACTAAGTAGTACCAAGGAAAATTTAAGTCAGGAAGCGAGGCATATAAGAGAAGATTTGAAACTTAATAATTACCCTGGTACATCAGTCAGAAAGTATGTAGAGAAATGTAAAAGTAAAGTAAATAATGATAGTGGTGATAGTGATACTACTACTACTAATAATAATAATAATAGTAATATTAATGACGACATGCATGTCAAATATGCAAACAGTATAATGACAACACCAACAATAAGGAATCTAAATCATCAGTAATTTTTTTTTTAATTTTTTTTAATTTTTTTAATTTTTGATTTACAGTAGTAATTCCATTTAATGAAGGAACCTCGGAAACATTACGGAGAACTCTCAACAATGCAGGTAGGAATAAAAGCGGCATTCAAACCCACAAACTCAATTAGAAACAAGCTTTGTCGGTTAAGCGATCAATCTTGCGGAACCTTTAAAATAAAACAATTTAGTTTATCTAATACCCTACTTGCAATGATTGTCAGGTGAAATACTTAGGTCAGAGTAATAGAACAGAGACAGTCAGACTAGCCGAGCATAAAAACCCACCAGCAAAATCTAGATTGATTAACCCGAATAAGATAAGAAATCTAGAGAATAGTTCAGCTATAGCACTACATGCAGTTACACACAACCACACAATAGGATGGGATAAGATGACAGTTTTAAAATCTAATATAACGCGGTGGAGGGACAGACTGATAACAAAAGCTTTGTTTATCGAATCAACTGCAAATACATGTAATAAGAATGATTCAACACCTGTCCAGTCGGATATCTGGAAAATTCTACTACCCCTACGACAACGAATAGGTGAGAACAAAGAAGACTATAAAACTCAAGTTTCGAAGTCATGTGATTATAACTGATGAAATGATTATGAACAGCAATAAGTTTTGTTCGAAACTTTGTCATTCAGTAAATAATATTCTTTTTAAGAGTTAGTTTGTAGGGGATTTGGTCTGTATCAAGTTCGATCAAGGGATTGATGTTATTTCTACAGCCGTTGAAAATCACCAAGTAGTACTGGACACCTGTTTTTCTCTATTATGATACTCTGCAACAATGCACACCAGTGACTAGCTAAAAGGTAACTAAGCTGCCTGGTGTTCTGCGAAGTAGGTATAACCAATGGGATCCACCAGCCAGAGTATGAGGACAAACATTCACCGGTGACCTTGGCTGGACTTGCAACTATATAACACGAATCGACAGAAGTTTGGATGGATGAGCCATTGAATTGCATCCCACTGGCTGATGGGTTAACGAGGTTGGATCTAGTAACTTGAAGGTCCTCGGTTCGACTCCTGGTGACGTCGTGGATGAGTACTAATGAAGAGTTACAAGCTAAGGAAAAACAGCTCTCTTGCACTATTTAGTACATATATTAGACAAAGTTAAACAATAGCGTCCCAAGGAATGAGAACGCACGAGTGATCTTGAGACGACCAACCATAAAAATTATTGGTCTTTGCACAAAAATGATGTTTATTTACGAGAAAATGCATGAAATCATATTAAACAGGGTATCTTCCTCTGTCATGGCCTAAAAGTACGTGCCAGTTATGATGAGGAGTTTTAGTTTTTAAGTTAGACCGATTTCTGAACATGTATTCACCGAGGCCACTTAAGGTGAGCTTGTTTCGTGACCCGTTTATCGCTCTCATCCTGTATTACAGTCTTCCATAAAAGTCCTCAATGGCATTGCTATGGTTTCCAGTAAGAGGATAAATGACTACTTATGAGGAAAATGAGAATAGTAAAACAAATACCTGATCGTAACCCTAACCCCCTTAATTCTGACTCTAGCCCTAAACTTAATACTGATCCTAACCCTAATCCTAACCCCAACGAGCTACTAATATATTGTCCGAATAGTACTTAAAAAGGTGGTCTGGGTGTGGTTTTCCCTTTATTTGGTGAATAGCGTTCATATTTGCGCTATGATAATGACAGGTGTCGTTAGCCAACCACTAGCATGCGTTCAAGGTCACTGGAGCGTTCGTATATCTGAGACGCTATTGTTTAACTTTGCCATATTTTTAACGTTCACTCTATTCAAACTCACGTAGTCGTGTAAGGGCTTATGGGGAATTGTCATCTGAATTGGTAACAACCAGTGGTGTCCGACAGGGATGTCCACTTTCCCCATTTCTGTTTAACTTCATCGTAGATATGCTGATGGAAGTATCCTTAACTGAACGTAATGACTTAGGAATCGACTTGTTACCAGGGAATAGTCTTATGGACTTAGAATATGCAGATGACATAGTCCTGTTAGGGGAGGATGCTGACAAAATGCAGAGTCTTCTGAACACCTTGAGCTGAGCTGCAATCTTCGTATGTTTGGCATGCGATTCGCCCCTACAAAATGTAAGATGCTGCTGCAGGACTGGACCACGTCAACTCCTAACTTAGTGATAGGGAGTGAAGTGATAGAACATGTTGACCACTTCACCTATTTGGGAAGTTGTATTAGCACCAACGGACTGATTGGCGATGAAATCTCAGCACGGATCCGAAAAGCTCGAGCTGCTTTCGCTGACTTACACCATCTCTGGCGTAGGCGTGACATCCGGTTATCAACCAAGGGACGTGTGTACTGCTCACCAGTTCGCTCCGTCCTTCTCTATGGCTCTGAAACATGGC